TAATTGAAATCTCTTATTCGCTTCTGATTGATATGTTTTGTGTGAGCTTTTCATTTCTTTTGTTAGGCTGTTCTTTCTCTTTGTTAGGATTTTCGCCGAGCATTTCGGGCAGATGAATCACTATTTTGAATAGTCGCGCTTCAAGTTCGCGCAGAATTTGGCGAGGTCTAATTGGGTTAACTGCGCCTCTAGTAGAAACACCTGGGTGTCAGCTTTTAGGGAGCCGTCATAGTCCATTGAGCATTGCACAATTGATATTTTCTTTCGAAATACCCTTTAGCCCTATCATCGAGACCGGCTAACATTAAACTACTGCACCGTTTTTTCACATAATGCATTTGAAGTTGCTGTCAAAGATAAGTTCTCCGCAGTTCATGATAGTTAACTTCTGGTTCCTTTGCTGCCTTTATTCATCGTCGTTTCCATGATAGCCCTGCGCTCGTTTGTCATCGAAAAACCTAGGAAGCAAAAATACGGATACATGCACTGTTTTGTTTGATAGTTTTTGAGTTTCTAACGTCGACATCAGCGGTGTCGACGTTTGAGGACAGGCAAACATCGACGCCGCTGAGTCAAACGTCGACACCGCTGAGATGACTTACAGAGACTAAAAGAATTAAAAGTCAGACTAGAGAGATGCTGCCAATGTTGGAAAAGTCAAATCGTTGTACGTCTACGTAAGGACAAACGTCAACGTTGATTACTGGCAAGGATGGTACTTGATCACCGGAACAAAAGTTACTGTGCTAAAAAATGCGCGTATATTGTGGAATATCTATGTAAATATTTCCGTATAATTGTAAAGAAGTGCATAACCTGTCCCGCTGAAACAACGAAGTGAAATATGTTTAGATAAAATGTAGATACCAGGAATAGATACCAATAAAGGAAATACCAGGACATAATAAAGCGCTTGTGTACGCTCTGCGTTGCATAACACTCGGTTACTTATAATTTTGTACTGTGTGTGTTATTCATCTCAGCTAATTTAAAATACATAGATAGATATTCGAAGAGGCCATTCGTAGCAAGCGTTCCTTTTGTTCAGTATAAGTCTGCATCATAGTCGAAACAGAGTACTTGCATGGGAACTTGTGGGACATCATACCAGTTTCTCTTTCACTGTTGTACCTCAGAAGTCAAATTAACATTTTTTTCAACAACAACAAGGCAGTCATATGATAGTTGCCCTTCTAATGGAATTAGACTTTATGTGGCATATCGTATCGTCATTGTCTCAAATCTAGTACAAAATTGATATCATTGTATCTTGTGTAGAAGTTGTTTCGATGTTGTCGACGACACGAAAGTATGATGCCATCTTTTTTTAACGGAAAAAAAAAGATTCAATAACGATTTTTCGGTAGCTAAGACGCAATCAGGCATAACAAACATCTCTCAACGTCGAAATTTTCCTAAACTTTCGCGGCCTCTCGGTGAGCACACAAATACTTTTAATAATGTACGACCCGAAACACATCAAGTCTATTCTGGGATTGGCTGCGTTTAACTAGTTTCACAATTCGCCAAGAATGGAGAAATGCTATTACCTCTTACTGCTCCTCGCAACAGCTATATATAAAAATTTTGCCCCTTAATGTTAATGTGTAGTTGCGGCAAATTGTAAAATATCAATGCATGCAGATTCAAAATATTTATTAAACAAAGATCTAAGAAGCAGTATGTTTCTGCTACATTTAAACTCGGTCTTCTAAATTGCGCTCATACTACTAACGATTGATGCACAACTTGTGATGGAAGCTATTCATAGAGACAAAATAACGTCGGTATGTATTGCCAATTCCTGGGATCGATAGAACCAAGCTGTCGTTGGCACCATTATTGACGTCGTCACGCCCTCGGGGATTCGAAAATCAAGAATAAAGGGAAGCGATACTCTTGGTGGCGTCCGTTGTCGCAGAACGCCAACCTCGTCGAGATGTTTGGCAACACCCAATGAAATAGAGAAAATGGGGTTCTACTGGATGAATGAATACAACGAAAGATAAGTAGAGGATTCAGGACAAAAACGGAACCGAAAGGATTGTTTGAGGCTAAAAAAATACAAAGCACACATTCGGGAAGTGGAGGAGTAGCAAGATCCGGTCGATGGAGTCACTGGAAGCGGTGCACAGTTCCATTAGTGAGTGATATCTCACGATGGTATCCTTCTAGACGCTTGTATCTGCCTTTTCTCTAACCAGTTCCTTACCCGCCTTGCCCAATACATTTTCCGCTTTGAGAGGTTTCTCTTCGTGCTGAGATCCTTTGATCGAAAAGTGGGCCCATTTCCCATCCTCGATAATCACGAATTTATTCGCCTGATGCAAGTTTTTTTAGCGCAGATCGAATCATTGCGAGGCGAGAGCTCCAAAAGAGGCGCGAGCTATGTCTGTGTGATCACTCGACCCATAAATTTTATGAAGAGATCGACCAACAACTTTTGTTATCATTCATGTCGTAGACAGCGAATGTCGCGGCCGTTTAATAGCTAGTCGTCGTACCGAGCGAACGAGGCCGTTCGGCACGAAAAATAGTATACGATTATTTGGAGAGCCAACAGTTTTCAGGCCATACTACAATTAGAAACATTATGTATTCGTGTGCCGATTTCGAATTTGTCGAGAAAAGCTCAAGCGTGGTAAATCTTGAAATGTTTGGAACATTGAAAATGTCACAAAGATAGTGTAGCCGTGATCGCGTTCCAGTAGCCTACAGTTTCCAGGTCCAAGTATTGAATAACCTTACCAAATATCATTTTGCCAGCCGCACAGAAGTTTCATATATGAGGGTAACGTATACATGGTTCATTACGGTTCGTACTTGAATGGCAATATCCATGCCTCTGTCTTTAACCCGGTTCGCACTAGCGGAAGCACTATTCGTTATGGTAATCCCTTCTAGCGAGCGTCAGTTCCAATTCCTGGTTTAAGGCATCTCGCTGTGGTGTTGATATACGGTCGTCCATCGTCTGGGAATAACTAGTTGACTGGCTGCCGTGCCCGAAAACCGATACACTTACCGGAGCTACAGGCACATCGGGATGTTTATAGTTGAAACATACATTTAGGCCCGATGCAAGGAACAAAAAAATACTAACGAAAAGTAGCACTGCCGATAGATGCTTGCGTTCGTATTACGTGTCACTATTGCAATACTGCCCTTTGAAGAACGAGCTGGCCATACGTGGTCATCATGAGTGTATCTCTATCTCCTTTCGTCTCTCTTTCTCAAGGCAGGTGTACGCGATACAAATGCAAATACAAGTAGATGCCGTAGCATACTTTTTGTTATAACCAAAGAGTAAATTTACGTTCGGCACCACTGTGGGGCATTCCATCAGACGACTAGCTCCCTCTCAAAACGACGTATTTCTAAATCTCACATACTATACGATTTTACCTGCAGTCAATGCTTTTACGTGTCGATTTAATCAGGTCGCGCTTATTTCATTAGCAAAGGACCATGATTTGCTTTGTCGGTCATTTTTTTCATGCTGCTTCCTTTGGCTGATATCAAGGCCTCGACGTCCTTCGTTTGTCTACCACCCGTGTGTCCCTATTCATCAGTTTTTCTGTTTTCCGACGCTGTTTTTTGTCCTATTTCTTCGAGTAAAAAAAGTGTTTTTCTCTCTAGTTTTCCTTTCTTTGTGCGATTAATGGTAGCATTCATTGTCGTTTTAGTAAAACGATCGCCTTGCTCGCTCTGACATGAGCCATGTCAGAATGACATGACTCGCGAATGTTTTCCCTAGCAAGCCATATCAGGCTAACTAGGCTTTATGTGTGCCTGTAAATGAGATCGATCAGGCGAATCAAAATGGATGTGTGCCGCTGCTGCGGTCATGAAAATAATAGTAACAGCTATTGCAGCATGACGACTACAGCAAAAGCTATCATTATTGCCGAACTGAAGGGTTCATAGGCACACGCCAATCCAGCAGCTGCTTACCCTGACCTGTACCTTTTCTCTAGTCTAGACTTAGCAGAACGGAACACAGAAGCCTGACGGGTGGGAGAGCTCTGGTGGCACGTGGTGAGCCGTGCAACGTAAGCCGGCCCCAATAGAACAGTCTGTGGCGATCCTGCAGATCCCAATCGGCGACGCTGTTGTGGTTGTAATTGTCTATTATCGGTTACCCCGAAGCTAACGGCAGCACTACTACGCTAACAGATATCGACCGAGTCACCCACATACAAAAAGCAGCAACAGCGGCTCGGTCAACATACTTTCATTCAAATAGGACCGGAAAATATACAATAGAACGGGGCACGCAGGCAGGCCACACCAAGAACGACAAGCATTGTCGATCGCGTTGATTGTGGCCGCATTTCACTGTCTTCCGCATCCTGTTGCCTTTTCGTCGAAGACTTTCTGCTTGTTGTCAATCAGCATACAACAAGAAATAGGCTTTAATCTAATCTAACCATTTGATTATAGTAGCTTAAGTCCGCTTCTTGTAAGATTGCGTCTGAGGCTGTAAGTATGTGCAAAGCAGGGCAAGATGATAACGATGGGAAACTCTAAGGGCAGTCATTATAAGGAAGTCGCTTACGGTGCCAATAAGACAGAATTCTGCGACGTTTGGCTTGAATGCCTGTATGGCCTTAGGTCATCCGTCTAATTCGTTTGGGTTGGAGTTCTCCGTAGCTTCCCTGGGGCCGTTGTTATTCCTTGTAGTTATTATTGTTATCCTTCGTTGGCTATTAGACCGATGCCTGATATCAAACTACTACCTTCATTGCAAGTAGTACAAATCTGCTGCTTAGTTTTCCGCTGTCCCAACTGTAGTGAGGATCAATAAATCGCTGACGGTCATAGAAACCATTGGTAAAGAGAATTCAGCATTGGCATTGTCTGGGGCCCCGGCACGCGAGTTTTGAGATACATAGAGTTTCATGTAATTTTTCTGTTGTCGTAAATTAAAGCTAGAACAAACGTAATATTGGGTATTTTATAGAAAACTGTATATAAACAATAAGGATCACCGAAGTCTTGCTGCGAATCCTTTATTTTTTTGGCCGTTGTACATCGACTTGGCCTTTTTAGTCAATATTGAGCAATTTTTCAACATATTTTATCCATTTGTCTTCGAGATTAAACTTTTGCTGCTCCTGGTCCTGCTGCTACTGCTGCTGCTGCTGCTGTATTTCGAGGAGTTTTTGAGAATGAAATCTTTGTGAGCTTTCAGAGATAAGTCGATTACGTCCATTACTCCTTCTAATGCAATCGGTCTTGATAAGCCTACTGTTATAGTAGCAGTTCACATACGTTTTTATAAAATGTTTATACAAATCCTCTAATATGTGACAGAACTACTTTTTTGCGTTTGTCTGTTATAGATAAACTTTGTGTCAATAGATACGCTGAGTGCCGAATGCTGTTAATAAGCTCTTCAGTCTTCTATTGATTTCGAGGCAGGTTATTTAATTATCTTTAGCTGTCATATTTCCTTGAGCTGCTTTAGAATAAAAACAATAAACGATTTGATTTTCTATGACGTTTCATTAGGTCGAATAGCCTCAACGCCCGCTGAGGGCACTTGAAACGAAGTGTAGAAAACAAGTGGTCATAAAACGTAGCCTTCATTTTCTCAATGAATTTCTATGTATCTGCTAGCCATGTTCTCCTCCTCCCTCAGTCTTGCACAGGTGCTAAACCGTTTACCATTTCGCTATTCAGGATTTAACTAATTCAAATTATGAATGACATCATGCGACTCGAAAGCTTTGAGATTTTCCAAATTATCCCACCACTTCTTCAAAAAGATATCGAGGATGAGCTGGAACCAGGGTGTCAACGACTTATTGGTTCCCGAAAGACACTCTGTAAACGTAAACAATTAATGTTATTAGAATTTAATAAAGTAGTATTATCGTAGTTCGACTTCGCGGAAGAAGCTCGCAAGGAAATATTAGGTGCCAAGGACCTGCATCGATACCGCAGCTAGGTTTGCTAAGGAATGACGACTATACAAAACAGAATACGTATTTCTGAAAACAAAAGACATCATCCGGTATGGGATCTTTGCCTGTCGATTATTGTTCGCGGTAAAAGTTTCTGTCCGTTACCATAGTATAGAATGCACCTTCTTGAAATAAGGCTTATACAAACCTACGAAATAGTCAATCTTATCCCGGGGAAGGTAAATTGTGGATGTGACTTCGTTTGGATTTGGCCTTAAGCATTTGATATCGCGCTGAATGAACAAAATGTAGTCGATCTCGTGCTCGCCCCAGACATCGTTTGACGCTGCCATGTACTTAATACGGGTCAGATAATGAAATGATTCAAGAGGCAACTGTAAAGTATAGTCACAGGAGATATTGTTACGTTACAATAAAATCCGTCCTGGTTTAATCTTTTGCTAATTTTGCCTCCATCTAAACCGATCTAGTGTTAAATGATGAAGAGTTAAAGTTGGGAAACGTTACTATTGTAGAGCAGTAGCCGCCATCCCTGATCTCTTATGGGTATGCAGGTAATCACAGATTTACTAAAAGGTTACATGGGTTCGCATATCGTTTGTTGGATCAGTACAGTTCGTGCACGGAATTTTATCGAAGGCCTAGTTAGGCCACGCCTTCATTAGCTAGTCGTCGCAAGTGTCAGCTAGCACATTATCAACACGGAGGGGACTGGTTTGATACATGTGTATGAGAACCAGATCGGTTCGCGTAGGCCAGCAACGGAAAAGGCTCATTCCTGCTTCTAAATACTACCGTTTCTGTGTGTTGTCCTGTAAAAGCAGGCACGATGCAAACATTGTCCAATGCACAGTTTTATGGTTGCGACGGTAATTATTGTCATGTCTGTCGGTTTTCTCTTCTTCTAGTCGAGGAAGTCGTCATTATGACAGTATGGAAATTTATTGGTAGCAGAATAAGTGTGCTCACCTTCTTGCGTTGAAAGGACTACAAATACAGCGGTCTAATCAACTGAGATTCCTTTCTCTGGGTCATTCATTGCCCTGTGGGTTTGTATCCAACAAGCGGACTGATGAACGAGTATGGTCCTAACAGACGAATATATAGTATCCTCGAATTCCCGTATGAGAAATGCGATTATATGGTATAGGTCAAGCTATTTCGTAGAATAGGAGCGTTGAAATCATTTGATTTTTAGTTTTTGTAGGAAGTGACGAAGGAAGACATCTCTCTATAAAATCTCAAATTGTCGCCAATTCGTGTTGATTTGATGTTCCCATTTGAAACGGAAGAAGAAGCCCACTCAAGGCCATTCTGTGTACAACAAGTAGCTTCGTTGTTGTTGTTGTTGTTGTTGTTGTTGTTGTTGTTGTTGTTCATAGTTATTTGTTGCCCACTACTATTCGTAACGTGTTACGACAGTGGTTCATTCGGCCGCACAATTATCAAAAAGTAAATAGTAAGCTTTTTTCTGATCGACGTTCTTTAGTAGTTGTCGATTTGTGCGCAGTAGTTACGTTTTGGCATTGTTAATACATGTGTGCATACCTGTAAGTGTTGTATCCTTCACCAGTGATCGATCCGCTGAATAAACTAGCGGCCAGAGGTGTCTTTTTCGGTCTCATTCTTCGTGCGTATCACCTCTATCTAAATATTTTTGTGCAAATTTTTCTTAATAGTTTGTTTTTTTTCTTCACTAATATTTTGAACTATCCGAGGAAACGAAATCCGGCCAAATAAATATACAGTCTATATAATAATGACGCGTTCGATTATCACTATAGCTATGAAAAAAATCATGTCAAAGTATACCAATTGAATAGTGTAAGATTGTCGCCTCGTGCTCTATAGTTTGAAGACAAAATAAAGCTGTTATACGTGTGCATAACATTATTTGGTTACCTTTACGATTATTCTATGGTATTGCGAAAGTGGCTCCGACATATAGCACATATAGCAGTGACGTACAAAGCGCAAGCCACAGATATCTGACCGCGTACATAAGTTACATCGCAATTACCTCTTCAGGAGAGATACCCAGTTCGCTAACCATTCGACGGTGAGCAGCACGCTTAACGCCTATGAGGGGATCTTCTGTGTGTTCTGACGGAATCGCTAACGGATGCGAGCAGCATGTATTGGTAAAATAACCGGGAAACGTGATCTTTTCATCTGAACGCTGCGTAATCAGTAGTTCGCCGACAGAGTTAAATAGGAAGACCGAGAACGCTCGGTGAAGCATACCTTTGCAGGAAACATATACAGCAAGACAGCTAGAAGTGACACTTATCTAATTTAGAAAAATGCTAATGTATTTGCATATTATCTTTCTGTTTTTTTGGCGATCGCAAACGATGTCTACATGTTTATCTTCCAGGCTTAAGACACACGATTGATTCAATATTTCAAACTCTCTACTTTTAGAACATACAAAATCGTCGATAGAAATCCTAGTGTTAAGTACCGATATAATTTACCTTTTCTGATGTTTGCCATCAGATGACACTCTTTTTTAGAGGCTGTCCCAATGGCGTTGTCATTTTCATCTACGAGAATACACTCTTCGTCAAGAAACTTGATTTGTTGAGGGTCTAAGTTTTTTAGACATGGCTCGTCGTTCGAGAGACTGGTCGCCGCTGCATTAGCTGGATGAACGGGATTCGTTTCACGATACATTCCGCTGACTCACGTATGTCGTCGGGTCCTAAATCGTGATTAGCTTGATTAGATTTCTCAGCTCTTCATATTAAATGGTTAACTTTCCTTAGGTTAACTGGAAGCGACGGAGCTCAGTTTTCACAACTTTACGGAAACTTCTGTTATGGTTAGATTATCGCTATAGCGGCCGTCACACTCGCCTGTTACGAGAATAGCTGTTATGGGACGAGATGCATGAAATTTCTTCAAAACATTACAACGAAAATCCTCATTGGCGCCGTTTCGAACAGATAGAGGCGAAATTTTCTGGCACCGATTAGATATGTAAATAGTATGGTTCGTCGTATGTTAGGAATGAGAACAAGATATGCCTGAATTTAGGTGCGCCTTGCAGGATAATTATTTCAAATTACGTGTTCTACATAGAGCTATGACAGCTCCTGTTCTGTAACTCAAGCGAAATCATCCCTGGTTGGCCTACGAGTCGTTAGCGAATAGTTCGTAGCTACAGCCAAGTCCATTGGTCGTCTTACTTAATTAGCTGTCTGGAATGAACCGCTATGCTAGCGCCTTTCAGCTTGGCTTGTGCGTACGATCTGTTATTCTATAATCAGTTGAGGACTGGCTGAGGTGTATCGCATGAGCTTCTGTGTTCTGCAGCTCTGCATTCAGGGTTACGCCGAATGATTATAGACCTGTACAGCTCTATGTATTTAATAAGTGTGGATATTTTGGATAAAATCAACTGCGTTGACTTCTTGCTGTACGGTTACGATATGTTGTTACGACTAATCCTTTTAAAAATATTTTATATATTTTTTAATGTTGTATATATATATAAGTTCTTATTGGGAATTTCTCTATAAAAATGGGCTGTATTTGTTGTTGATAACTAAATCACTTCGAATGAGTAGTAAAATGGGTGGTTTCACACTTGTACAATACATAATTCTTCTTCGCCTGCTCTGTTACCTACCACATCTATGTCACGAAGTCACGCAATAAAAGGCATGCACTGGAGTTTTGGTTCAAAAAACAAACATATATAGCAGAGTATTGTTTCCTTCGGCACAGATTTCTGATGCACAAACAACGCTGGTGGCGGGATTTGCTTTCCGCTGCTCAATGAACGCCGCGAACAACTTCAAAGATGGATCATGCACAAAGTAGCGCACGTTTCTAGTGATAAATCTTAAGAGATAAACACACTTTTAGGATTAGGTGGTTCGTATCGTCTCCAATCTTTTTGCAATCGTAATAAAGATGATCCGTTTTTGTGCTAGACATTCTACCAACGAATGGCAGATACCTTGATTGGTCCTTTGCTTAATAGGAGGCCATCGCGGAAAATCGATTAGATTGACTTTCCTTGTCATCGCACTACCTGCCAATGACGTCTACGACTCTGTGGGTAGCCAAGATGCATGGAAAAAGCTTGAGGAAGATTAATGCTAAAGGGTGCATGCACGTACACACAAGCATCAGTTCGTGAGCATACGTAACTCGTGCGCGTTCATGTCCCCATTAACCTACTGCAAGAGTTGTCCAGAGAATCCGCTTATGGCAGCTGGACAAAGAGAAGAGGTCTGAGGCCGGTATAGGAACGTATAGCCGTTATATTGCATACAGTGGCCTTTAGTCCTTCTGCAAAAGTTCGTTTGTCGATTCTGGAGGAAATAACACGCTACACCATACCATACACGGTATCCATTTCATTGCTCACATGAACTATACTGTAAGCGGAATCTGCCACAAATGAAACACTGGAATAGTTAATTAATTGAAAACACAGGCGTGTTTTCAGTATAATATTTTATTGAAAAATGGCCATAATTAGAAATTATTTTTTACCAGTAAGGGTGTACAATGTTTCATTTACAGTGTTTTCAACTGATTTTTTAGGTAATAGGGCAGAAACGGATAGATAGAAACAGGTGCTAGAGGTTTAATTGTTAAAATCGTTTAGTCGTGAAAGATTCAGTAAATACAAAAGATTTTTCCTTGCCATATAGTTTTATAAAGAGCAGGTGTATGAAAAAAAAAAAGATTTGTGCTTTCCCTGACAAACCTTTCCCACCTATATACATAGAATATTTTTTTTAATTACCTCAAGCTTTAGCAATAGAATGATAGCTTAAGAGAGGTGTACCTTGTTACGCTATCCTTCGATAATTGTTGTTATGTAAAGGACTGATGAAAGTTTACAGCCATTAAGATTTGAAGAAGGTGCCGTCTTTCACAAATATTAGCTAAATAAATTTTGATTCGATATAAACAAGAGTAATATCATCGAAGGAATTAACTCCGGTGAATGATGCCCAGTTGGGTGTGTTAGACGCTGAGCGAGGGTAAGGCGTTCCAACGAATGAATTAGAGTTAATTATCACAGTTCGAACCGAACCCACTGGAAGATATCGAGGCGTAGTCGGTAGCAAGTTATTAGGGTGTTTTTCTTAGAAACCGTGATTTTTTTGCTTTTCACGAATGAATGAAGTACATAATTTATCGTATTGTGATTCGCATCGTTTGCTCAATAGCTGGTCATGGCTGATAAGCGGCTTCTGAATTAGCGTACAACTAATAGAGCTACTTGCGAAAGCTAATTAAAAGAAATAATAATTAATTAAATTAATCAAATTAACTGAGTGAATTATAGATAATTATTATTATTACAAATAATAAATATAATTATTATTATTATAAAAAAGAAAAAAAAACAAAAGGTTATTATCCGCAGACGATGACAATGCCTAGTAAGACAAACGTAGCTTAGTTCACAATTTGGAGGACCAATCATAGTAATCATGTTACACTGTCTTATATTACACGTTTATGACGTATTTAGATTTTATTGGAGTAATATTAATCTAAGACAGATTTTATGTCAAAGGTATCTTACAGCCATGTCCTTCAGTGAAACTAATTCACCGTGTACTTCCGCACAGACACTGGAGTGTTTGAGATAGAACCTATCAAAATGATTCACATTCGAATAGAATCTCAGAAACCAACGTATCTGACGCTTTGCTGATATGAAAAAAAAAAAAACTAAATGATTTTCATTGCACTTCTGCATTGTGTTTTTTTCTGCCGTAAAAAGATAGCGAGATCCATGTTGTTTAGAATATGATTGGGCCAAAAAAGGAAGTGTTATTTGTCTCTATGCAGAAAAGGGCCGAAATTCGGAGAATCGACTAGACCGAAATACGTTTTGCCTGCACGCCATGCTTTCCCATGATATGCATGAAATTGCTATTGCAAGCCTGCAGCTAACAACAGCGAATGAACCGAGAGAGCATGTAGGCCCTGCAGTAAAGCTGTTTCGTTTTGGTTTATTCCGTCCTTCGGTGCTGGAAATAGCTGAAGCCGAACGAACTCGACGACGGAGCTTGTTAGTAGCTTGGATCGGCACGCAAGCTCGACCAGCCACTCATTTGCCTGTACGTGCCGATCGCTTCCTCCACCGCCATCCTCTTGGTCGCATGCACGTACACCACTTTACATCGTTCTGCGTGCGATGAAATGGCGAGCTCAGATGGGGATGAGAATTGCAGCTGTACAGATAAATGTCATGCGACAGGTCGCTTGCTAGTCCCCCCCCCCCCCATTAGCCTATCGACAGGCCTGCCCTTATCCTGCTTAATTCAACTGGGAGCACAAAAAAAACCGTAGACAAAAATAAAAAGAAAGCAAGCAGGATGAAAACGTGAAGATCTTCGCATGGAGCATTGTTTGCTTTAAATTCAGTTTTTTTCTACCAAGTTGAAAAAATGAATGAGTAGAATAATACTTCTTTGTCAAAGGCTAATAGTTATCTATGTATTTATCATTAACTTGAGTGTATATATATATATGTTCTTTACTTAGCCTTAATCTTGTAGGTAAAATAAGTTTTTTGATTACGGTACATGAATACGTCCTTATAAAGTTTGTCTGAAAGTGGCGAATATTGATACCAGCGTCAAGGGCATTATCTTCTACATTTAGATGGGAGCAAAAGGAGCAGCTGCATATTTATTCAAGTTTCGGAGTTTTTGTTTCAGTTTCAATGACGATCTAAGACAAGGAAATTCTTTCACCCTTCCAGTCGTTAATGGCCGAAAAGCTGCACTGGATGCAGCGTCACCTTCGGAAAGCTGAAAGAACTACAAAATATTCTGCAAGCATCTTTCAATAGTTTGATTTGATTTTCCTCTAATAGTAATAATTAACACTTACTTCTAAGTTCGTAAAGTGAAGCCAGTGTGTACAGATTCCGCCAACATTTTCTACGGCAAGGCAAACAGTGCGCCCTACCGAAGTGGAACTCGGGTATTCCCCTTCAAATCAGGACTCTTTGGTGATCTAAAGTGCCACCTTAGAGCTCTGATGACGAAAAGTAATAGACAAACTGTACAGTTGGTATTGAAGAGTGTACAGATAAAACTTTCCGAGCACCGAATTCGTTTCTCATCTTGATGCCTATTTTTAAAGAAATTGACAATAGGATGGAAGTACTAGAATACTGAATATCCTGATAATACAAATAGGTGTATCAGCCTCTACACCAAGTTAAAAAGGTCTTATTAGTTTTTAGTTGCATTGTATAGCGTGGGTTCAACTTAGTTACGCTGCAACTGTTAGAGAACAGCGGTCGCCTCGGCAATATCATTCTACATTATGACCGATGTCATTGAGATGACCGCTAGCAATACTGGAATGATACACTTACAAAAAAATAACACCACAATAACTGTGTAACCAAAAAATATGATAAATTTAAGTTGTGAACTTAGATTATCTTGTAGTGAATGTTGCATTTTTCTTTCTCTACGTATAGCCGTATGGTTAATGCGCAAAGCTTGTATTGTTACAATGTTCGTCGACTGCACGCGTTTACACGAGCGTGCATTTGTTAGATACTACTCTGTAGGTGAGCCTGTATGGGCCACGAAGCCAAGCTGTCATGTGTCGATCCTTGGTTAAGTGTTTACTACATACTTATATAAAACAACATATATGTATACATAACGTAGCCATTGTTCAATAAAAGTCAATTTTTTTACAAATAATATATAAATACTAGTAGTCATTAGAAGCTCTAATTTAATTAGCATACGAATGCGTGGAAATTATCGAAGACAGGCGGTCAATAATAAACTAATAATTTGATCAAATAAATGTACCAGAATATCGGCCACTTAGGTTTTAAATTTTACCCCTCCAGTCAGATCCGGATACGTTCCGAATCATCTGCACGGCTTCAAAACACAATATATCTATCCAATTCGTCAGGAATAATTATTGTTTGTCAGACAAGATATAAGTTGATTTAATTTTGACCAACAGAACGGTAGAATTTCGAAAATTAAGTAAAAAAAAAAAGCTTTCACCAGCGGTATCCATTTCAAATTGCCAAACCACAGATACGTAGCAACCAGGCATCCTTGTGTATCATAAGCTCATAACAGTCTTAGTGTTATTATAGGAAAAGTGTTTGAAGCAAAACTACATTATATATTGCTGTAGCATTTAACATATCAAAACCATGTGCTCTTCACATATATAAACGAAAAGCTCAAAAATGAAGAGAACGAACTAAAAATCAATAATTAGATCTACTATAGTAAAAAGAACATAACGTAGTTTTTGCAGTAAAGGTTTTGTGAGTATTGGTATTTTTCAGCTTTATCACTAGGTAAATACAGCAGTTTATTTACTCTGATCAAGCTTCATATTAAATAAAGCGAACTTGACTATTTACTTCTCTATATATATATTGCGCCGCTCTAAAGTTCTATGTTTCAAAGGTACATTATTGCATAAACGACTAAAATTATCGAGTACTATCAGCTATTGAAACCCTTCGCAAACGATTTAGACAACACAGACACAGTTCCCGTACACCTACAAGTATAAGTAGACCAGCTAACTCATCACACATGACAGAACTTTGTTAAATGACTACCAGGTTAATCCTGGTAAGCTATCGCATGTACCAGGTGCAGGTGTCTGTCAAATACGTCCATCTGTATAACTTAGAAAGAGATTGACAACCGATTTTCTTCATAAGATGGGTCACTCCAAAACAGTGGCTCAGCAAAGTGGTGCTCACACAAAAATAGTACGTATTTGTTTTATTGCCTCGTTCTTATTTTATTGTTTAACTTATTATTAAGAATGCTAGAACATGATCCGTATGTTTTCTTCATAAAGCATAGATGGGCGCATATTTAAACCTTATCTGAGAGAAAAAAAAGAGAGTACTCAGGCAATGTATGGTACTCTGCCTCTGTATTTCTTCCAAAATTGCAAACCAGCTTGG